CAGAGTGAGCAGGAGCTCCCTGAGTCTCTCAGACTGCCTTCCTTTTACTTAGCTTAGTTATAGTTGTTCTCCCCCTTTTTGCTCCAAGTTAATTTCCCTCGTCTAAAAAGTTATAAGAAGAAGAAAATTAATAAAACTCCCCCCTTGGGGAACTGAACTCGCTTCAGTGCGAAGCCCTGGACTGGGGCTCTCCCAGCTGTTTAACAGAAGAAAACAAACACACAAAAATTAAAATAAAGTAAACCAGAAGAAAAGGACAGACAGAAACAAATAAAACAAGGAAAATCATCACCAGAATAAGGAAAGGGGCAGAAACTCCTTGGTTATGTCTGCCTCAGCTGGTTTTAAAAAATGTGACCACTGCCGCTAGCCTATGCCGGCTTCAGACGGCCATTCAAAATGTATTCGGTGTTTGGGGGAAACCCATTGACTCCACAGCTGTACACACTGCTCTTCTCTCACAGCGAGAGCTCGAAAAGACAGAGAGCTCCGCCTGAGAATGATTCTCTTTGAAAAGTCCCGGCAGCCGGCAAATGAACAGGGGTCAGCGCGGCAAGAGCCCTCCTTCCCCCTCCCCCCGCTGCCACCCAAAACTGCCCACAAAAGGAGAGCCTCACCATCCCGCTCTCTGCCGGCTTCCTCCTCCCCAAAAGAACAGGGGAGAGGTACAAGCGATGAGGACCCCTGCTACTTAAAGCAGCGGGAAGATCCTCTCGCCCCACACCGGGACCGGTGCACGCTACCTCCAAGCCATGCCGGGAACCCTCCAAGCAGCTGCCTCTGCAAGAGAAGCCGGCGTCGCTTCAAACCGCGGTGCCGCTTCCAGCCCCAGCACCGCAGAAAGCCCCGGCGCTGCTTCAGACCACAGTGCCGCTTCCAGCCCCGGCACCGCAGAAAGCCCCTGCTCTGCTGAAAGCGGCAGAGCCGTTTAAAGTCACGGCGCCCCTGAAAGTCGCAGCACCGCACCTGAAAAAGCCTCACACACCTAAGCTACCACCAGCTTCAGATGCTTACCGGGACCTTACACTGACACCAGTAGTGCACATTGATACACAGCTAGATGAGGCTGCTGCAGAACAGCCCCAGGATCTGTCTGACACTAACAGCAGGCAGCACCATCTATGCCAGCCTCCTCCTGATTACTCACCTGGGAGGGGTCTCTCAAGACAGTCCCCTCCCAGGTCTATATCACCAATGTCCCTTCATGAGCCTCCCCTGCCCGATGATGACCAGCACACGGTGTACTCCTCACGTCACACATCATCTAGGAGGTCTCGTTCCTACCACCATACGGCTGCACCACAAAAAACCCGATAGCACCCATACTGGCCTTATCCATCTCCATCTTATCCACCACAGTGGGGGCCCTGGAATCACTGGGACCCATACAGATGTCAGTCCTCAGTCCACTCCACACCATCCCGGAGAAGCTTACCACAACCACAGCCCCTACCTCCTGCAGGACATTCAGGGGAGGAGGAGGAACGAATCTCCGACAATGAATCGGATATTTACTCAATAAACGTCACACATTCTGATAATCCCAGCGTGTTACCGGACAACGTGGTCATACCATCAGACACTATAGCAATTGATTACCTAAAACAGTTTCAAGAATTATTCAAGAGGGTAGCGACAAGTCAACACGTCTCCCTGCAAGAAGTGCAAAAGAAACAATACCAACTACTAAAGAACCTACATCCTACATTACACAGCAAGATTGCCCTACCAATAGACGAGGCAATCATGGAGACTTCAGAGGACTTGTGGAAGACACCCGCATCCATTCAACCAACTAATAAGAAAATCGACAAAGTACTTTGTTCCATCAAAAGATAACGACTTTCTGTTCACATATCCACAACCTAACTACCTAGTCATAGACTCAGCACAACAACGAGCAAAACTCCCGCAATACAGGACGGGCAGCGCGGACAAAGACCACAAAAAGCTAGACTTGTTTGGCAAGAAAATATATTCCTCGTCCACCCTATAACTCAGAATATCAAATAACTCCGTTCTGTTAGCAAATCATGATTTCAACAATTATTCAAAATCACATGATCGCCTGCACCACTCTTCAAACCGCAATGGATATTGCTGACACCGCAGCCAGAGTGACAGCTACGGCGGTGGTGATGCGTAGAGCTTCCTGGCTTCAGTCATCCAGAGTTCCCTGTAAACTCCAGCCCGAAGTAGAAGACTTGCCATTTGACAAACTAAAGTTGTTTGCAGCTACTACAGATAAAATGCTCCATAACAGCAAAAATTCTAAGACCACACTTCGTACGTTAGGCATGTACACGCCACCGTACAAACACAAACGATACACTCCATATAACACATACAACCGATACAGATACTGTCAATATATTCGACCATAATAAGAGGCCCTATGAGGACACCAGACCAAGGCAACGAGCTCCCAGAAGTCACCCCACCAGGGCCGCTGCCCAACCCTCCAAGCAGCAAATTTGAAGATGTGGTCGAGGGTCTGCAAGACCTCCCTTACGATCTAGCACCAATTCAACATGGCCATCTATTTACCCACCGTTTGCGCCCGTTCCTTCCACAATGGGAATCTATAACATCGGACCGCTGGGTTCTAGAGATAATTCAAGTAGGCTATACCATCCCACTTACTGCTATTCCACCTACCCCTCCTCCTACCCCATCCGTCTTTAGGGACCACTCTCACAAGACCCTACTAAAACAAGAGATCAATCGGCTCCTCGCAATCGGAGCCATAGAAAGGGTACCCAAAGAGTTTCACGGGAAAGGGTTTTACTCAAACTATTTCCTGACAGAGAAAAAAAACGGGAGTTGGAGGCCTATATTAGACCTCCGCAAGCTGAACAAGTTTCTCAAGAAGCAGTGTTTCAAGATGGTCACACTTACAACAATCATTCCTGTACTAGATCAAGGGGACTGGTTCGCAGCCCTTGACCTCCAAGATGCGTACTTTCATGTAAACATCCATCCAGCTCACTGACGCTACCTTCACTTTACGTTTGACCCAGAACACTTTCAATACAAAGTTCTTTCTTTCGGCCTTTCATCAGCCCCGAGAGTATTTTCAAAGGTACTAGCAGTTGTTACCGCATACCTCAGACGACAGAATGTCGTAATATTCCCTACCAGATGACTGTCTTATAAAGGGGTCATCAAAGGAAGAGACCACCTCTATGATACATACCACCATAGTCCTCCTTAATCACTTAGGCCTTCTAATCAACAATCACAAATCAACGTTGCACCCAGTTCAAGAAACAGAGTTCATGTGCACATGCCTGGACTCAATTACAGCTCGAGCATACTTACCTCGACAATGTTTTATAACTATCCAAGAAATTATAACCGTGATGCTCACAACTCCCACCACCACAGTACTTACCTGCCTTCGACTAATGGGACACATGGCTTCCACCATCTATGCAGTCCACCATGCTCGCCTGCACTTTCGATGCTTTCAACTCTGGGTAGCAACCGTTTACATCCCGTCATGACACACTCAGAACAAGAGAGTTACCGTCCCACCAAACGTTCTTGCATCCCTACAACGCCGAACAACCTCCTGGCGGGGGTTCCATTCCAACAAACTGAACCCACTATCCAGATTACCACAGATGCTTCCCTGCTCAGCTGGGGGACACATACGGATGGTCACGAAATCCAGGGCAAGTGGTCCCCAAGCAAGATGCTACTGCACATCAACCTCCTTGAATGAAGGGCAGTGAAGAATGCCTGTGCACATTTTGCTCCTGACATTGCCAGTCATACAGTCTGCATCCTAACGGACAACATCTGCACAATGTTCTACATAAACAGACAGGGTGGAGCCCGTTCCCACTCCCTCTGCACAGAAGCTATTCACCTGTGAAATTTGTGCATCCGCAACCAAGTCACCCTTGTAGCATCCTACCTACCCGGGGTGAACAACACCAAAGCAGACTCCCTCAGTCGTAACTTTACCTTGGACCACGAGTGGGAGTTGCATGCAGACATCTCAAATTCAATTTTCAACCAATGGGGATGGCCACCTATAGACCTCTTTGCTTCTACCCAGAACACCAAGTGCCCCCAATTCTGTTCACGTGCAGGACTTGACAAACATTCTCTAGGGGATGCCTGTCTAATCAAATGGACAGCTCCCCTACACTATGCCTTTCCTCCCATACTGCTCATCCCAAGAGTCCTATGCAAGATCTGCAGAGACGGAGCTCTAGTCATACTGATTGCTCCATCATGGTCCTGCCAAACTTGGTACTCATACCTGCACAGACTAGCGCTTCAGCCTCCTTATCCACTGCCATACCGAGTAGACCTGCTATCTCAGGACAATGGCAGAATACTACACCCACAGCTCTATACCCTATATTTTCAGGAATGGCTTCTGTCTGATTCTTGGAGATAGAAAATCACTTTTCTCAGCAAGTGAAAGACATCTTCCTCCATAGTAGGAGACAATCCACTTGAAAAATCTACCTGCAAAAATGGTCACGATTCTCCCACTGCTGTCAGCGGGCCAAAGTAGAACCACATATCTCCCCACTGACTACCGTCCTGGACCACGTTTTAGACCTTAAAGCATCAGGACTGTCAATCTCTTTTTTAAGAGTCCATCTATCTTCAATAGCAGCATTCCACACCTCGGTGGATGGCTTCTCCATATTTGTCCATCCCATCACTAAGAGATTCCTAAAGGGACTCCGCAACACGCTCCCATTGTGGGAGCTAAATCTTGTTCTGGACCATCTCACCAGACCTCCATTCGAGCCACTGGCAACGATACCACTCCCCCCCCCTTTTTTTTTTTAAATGAAAGTCTGTTTCCTGTTAGCTGTCACCTCAGTCAGGAGGGTGAGTGAACTTGGGGCATTAATGGCAGAACCCCCTTACACAGTTTTCACGAAGGACAGGGTCATACGTAGACCTCACCCAACATTCCTGCCGAAGGTCTGTACAGAATTCCGTGTCTACGAACCAATTGTACTACCTACCTTTTTCCCAAAACCGCACGCTTCACAGAAGGATGCCAGCCTGCATACTCTGGACTTCCGGAGGGCTCTAGCTTTCTTCCTAGAAAGAACAAAACCATTTCGTAAATCTGAAAGACTTTTTATCTCCATCGCCGAGCACTCCAAAGGAACACCCATATCATCACAACGAATCTCTAAGTGGATCTCAACAAGCATAGTCAAGTGCCACAAGCACATTCCACTCGAGCTACGGCTGCTTCTACAGCCTTTTTGAACAATGTCCCCTTAAGAGACATTTACCGGACAGCAACATGGTCTTCAGACCATACCTTTGCCAAACATTATGCTATCCTGCCTCAGCGTAAAGATGACTCAGCTGTTTCTACAGCGGTACTCTTCACTACTGCTAAACACTGACTCCGGCTCCCTCCAGCCATATATTGAATACTGCTTTGTAGTCACCTAGAGTGGAGCACCCACGGGGACACTACTCGAAGAAGAAAAGGGAGTAACTCACCTCGTGCAGTAATGAGTGTTCTTCGAGAGGTGTGTCCCCATGGGTGCTCCATGACCCTCCCTTCCTCCCCTCTGCTTGGAGTCTATATTACTCGGGCAGAGATGAGGAACTGAAAGGGAAGAGGTTGAGCCACACGCTGCAGGAGGCGGGAAAGGCTCGAGACACCTTATGAGCATGCGTGGCTCAACGGGGGAAACTGCTTTGCAAGGCTCCGATCTGTGGCTCAGGGCGACCCTTCACCTAGAGTGGAGCATCCATGGGGGGGGACATCTCAAAGAACACTCGTTACTGCATGAGGTGAGTAACTCTCTTTTCCTCATTCTATGAGGAATAAGGGGGATTCCAAAAGAAGGGGTTTTTCTAACGTCTCGTCCAGTCTAGACAGGCCAAATATTGGAAATATCTCATCCTATATAAGAATTGGAAAAAAGTGGCAGTGTAGAGTATATAAGGGCTGGGGATAGCAAGTGATAGAGAGGAGGAGAATAGAGAAGGCAGGGATTCAAGGAAGGGACGGTGTCTTGGGGAAAGGATGGGGTGGTAGGTCTTTGCTCGTTCTGGGATTTAAAAAGTGATTTTGGGTGTAAAAAGGTTGGAGACCAGTGGTGTAGACCTTACTACAGCAGAAGAAGATGTTTTTCTATTACTGTAGCAAACCCACTCCTTCAAGAAATGGTAGCAAGGTTAATGGAACAAATCTTTGGTCAGCCTGGTTGGGTAGGGTGTTAGGTCGACCTAACTCCATCATAGAGCATGGACTGACTTGGCCCTCAGTGATATATGATTAGTTTAAACTAAGTCTTAGGTATAGAGCAAGCATTGGAATTTGCAAGAGGAGCAACAGTTGCAAAAGTTCATTGTTTCAAGTATTGTTCCAGTGAATAGTGTCTAATAACCAGATATTTAAACCCACCAGCATAGAGGCTGATATGAAAGACAATGGGGGCAGTAGAAGTGTGACACACAAGTGAGAAGCCAATCTATTCCTGTTCCTGTTGTCAGAAAAGGAAAAGGTATTGGGATTCCTAACAGGTGCTGTCCTTTGACTTTGCTTTGGGGTTTCATCTTCCATATCAGCACATGACTTGTAAATGTTCAAATTTAATTAAACACTGAAACCAAATTTCCCAGCCCTTCTAGTCCAAGAAAGGAGGGGTGTTTTCTGTCCATCACAGATAACTCCAGATTTGCCTGACTCTGCTGCCTGTTTTAAAGGAAACGATATCCTTTTTTCTCTTCAAACCCTTCCCCCCCCCCTTCCCAATCAGATATCCAGTCTCTTCTCTACTGAATAGAGGTGTCTGCATTTGCCTTCGCTCAGAGCTTTTTTACGCTGCAGCAGGAGTGCACCTGACAACAGTCTTGCTAGTTTCACAAATGCTGCCCGCAGGTTTCTGAAGAGTCACTCTGAAAACTGGTAGTATGTTTTCACCTCTTCAGGAAAGCAAAGAACTAGCAGCAGGCATGGTCTGTCTGAAAACTTGGAAAGATGCTGACACAACCATAACATGTTTCAGACTTGGTTGTAAAGATGACATAGGTTCTAAAGGGACAGTGGGGAGGCTTTTAAAATGTTATTTGTATATGCAAGCCAGATAAAAATTAGACTTGAGGTCCTTAAAACTGAAGTTCAATTTGTAAATTATTATATTTTAGAAATGTAGAAGTGGTTTTAAAAGAGGACAAACAGAAATTAAAGCAAATACAGAAATTGCAGCCAAAGTTTACGGAAGAACAAAAAAAAGAACTTATTGAAGTTCATCCATGGATCCAGAAAGGTGGACTTCCAAAAGCAATTGCTAATTCAGTAAGTTTACATGGCTTAATACTACTCTTTATTATGTCAGTCTTTGTTTTGCTGTTGAGAGACTGTTTATAGTTCCATTACACTGAAAGCTTGATGAGCTACATGGAGTGACAAGTTTAGCTATAAATTTTAGTGCAATAATTTGGAGTTTAACATACAGTGAGTTATTGTAAGTTAAACTTCAGATTAAAAATGAATGGTCCTGTGGCACCTTAGAAACTAACAAAAATATTTAGAATCATGAGCTTTTGTGGGAAAAACGCACTTAATCAGATGAATTGGTATGATGATGAACATATCTGATTAAGTGCGTTTTTCCCACAAAAGTATATGATTCTATATATTTTGGTTAGTCGCTAAAGTGTTTTTTAACATGACAGACTAACACAGATACCCCTCAGAGATTTTTAAACTTCAGGTTGTTGCATTAAACTTGCTAGAGCTTAGAGTCATTTTTCTAGCCTGCACTGCACTACTTTGCATGCTACAGGGATGGACAGTCCAGTTTACAGAGTTGTAACTGTTGGTCCCAGGATATTAGAGACAAGGTGAGGTGAGGTAATATTTATTAAGTGGACCAACTTCTGTTGGTGAAAGAGACAAGTTTTCAAGCTACACAAAACTCTTCTTTCTACACAAAACCTGAGCACAAAAGCTTCTCTTTCACTAACACAAGTTGGTTCAGCAAAAGATAATCCTCATGACAGATAACACATTAATCTTTTGTCATGTCAGACAGGAATTCATCCCTTTTTTTGCTAAGAAGTTGTTTATCTCTGGAACTAATGCAATTACCACCACATGATCCTAGCAGCCTTCTACCTGGTTGCAGAATATTTTAGTGGATCACCTCAGCAGACCATCTCCTGTGTTTGGTTCCTATCCTCAGAAGCCAAGCCTGGGCAAGGAGGCTGGCTGCTGCCCCTCTCCAGCTAGGCTCTCTCCCTGGCTGCTGCTGGAGCATACAGAGCATACCTGGAAGGGAGGGGCTCCAGCTTGTTGGGCCCTTGTCCCAGAAACTGGGGAAGGGAGTGAGCTGCTGCTGATTCCACTTCCCAGTCAGGCTCTCCTTCAGACAGCTGGCTGTACTTCATGGAGCAGACACTGAGAGTGGTTCCATCCTACTCCATACCTAGGACCTGGCTTCCAGAAAAGATGAGAAGCAGGAAAACATGCTGAGGAAGGGCGTTTGATCAGCAGGAGAACAGGAGGAGAGCCCTCCCCATGCTGCTCTCCCCACAAGTATAATTGGCCCTTGGGTGGGGGTAGGCAAGAGACGTGGGAAACTCACATGCCAACCCCTTTAGTTGGTGGCTCCTGCCAGTATTGAGAGGCACTAGTCAGCCCAAATAGCATTGGGCATGCAGGGTGTGAGAAGCTCCAGCACCCATCCCTCCCAGAAGGTGTGAGGCGGCCTGGGAAGCCCCAGTGCCCAGCCAATGCTGTTGCCCCGGGACTGGATGATGTATAGCTCCCTGTGGCAGTCTTACGCCTGGGGGAGCTCTTACTCCTTCTTGCAGCTGTAGGTCCCTGGTGGGAGAAGAAGCTTCCCTTGGCTTGGGGTTGGGGGCAGAAAGCAGCAAATGGGGGCTGCTGAGAGGTGGAATGGGAGGGGTCTGGGAGAGAAGGGGCAGAACGGTGGTGGAGCTGCAGACCAAATGTGCGGGGAGAGGGCCCCCATTTTGCTCTGGCCCAGAACCCCATATAACCATAATTTGTGTCTGCCTACATGACACAGCTATATCGACCTAACTTTCAAGTATTGATTCACTTAATGCTTTATGAGGATATCTCACTACCTTATTTCTTTTGAAGGAGTGTATTTATTGTGAGGAAAACACACGTAACAGCTTTTATATACCATATGAAGAAGAAGTCCATGAAATGGAGCTTAATGAAATGATTGAAGCCAGTGAAGAAAACAATTTAGCTATCCTGAAAATTGGTGAAGAACAAACCTAATATGTGGCACACTTTAAAAAGCAACTGCTTTAAATTACAGTGATGCATCAGCATGTTTTAAAACTTGTTTCTAGTTAAATGAATCTGGTTTATAAAACAAATGGATTTTTTGTTCTAGAAAAAGATTGTTTGTGAATGAATATCTAATGGGACAATCCATTATCTCTCTAGCACACAGTTGAAGATGGTGCAGTTTTAGAATTAAAAATCATTATTTTAAATAATTAAACTTTCACACCTAAATGCCTAAAAAATTTCTTTAAATTGGAGAAGCTTTCACGAAAGCCAATAGATTTGATAATTAGGTTAGTGAATGCTGCTAAATACATTAGATTAATTGTATTTTCTTCAAATGGAGCATTAAATTGAGTTTACATTTTGGAATCACTGTTAATTCCTAGAAAAACATAAACAACAAATAGTCTGGTAGCACTTCAAAGACTAACAAAACATGTAGATGGTATCATGAGTTTTCGTGGGCACAACCCACTTCTTCAGATGACTGGAGTGTTGGAAGTCTAGATCCAAGAATAAATAAGGGAAGGGGAGGGATGGGGAAGAAGAAGGAAAAAAATGGAGGGGAGGAAGAAAAAAAGAGACAGTGAGTAGATAAGGTTCAGAGAGAGAGTCTGTAACAGGAAAAACTTAAACAACAACAAATAGTCTCGTAGCACCTTAAAGACTAAATAGTTACAAGAGGCTGATAAGAACCATTAGTTTGCACTTGGAAAAGATGACGACCAACACCAGATTCTACATAGACATCAAGAACCATTAGCACCTTCATTGTTTGATTAGTTGATAATGTGCAAGCCATACAATATCACGATTCATACTATTTGCATGAGAATTAAACTTGTGAATGAAGTTAGGTTCCAACCCTTCTTTGTGTATTTGGCTTTTGGAATTGGTCTGAAACAAAACATGGACTTAGAGATCCATTAATGAGTGTCAAGGAAGATCAAAGTGTTCTACAACAGGTTTTGTGTGTTGCCTTTTTTGATATCTGATTTGTATCCATTAATTCTTTCCTGTAGAGACTGTCCAGTTTGGCCAATATACATTGCAGTGGGGCATTGTTGACATTTGATGGCATAGATCACATTAGTGGATATACAGTTAAATGAGCCTCTGATTTGGTGGCTGATGTGGTTGGGG